GGCTGAGTTGCTATGGAAACATGAAGGATAGACAGGACACATCAAGGTGAAGCATCCCATGGAAATAAGGGGCAAGAGGCAGGCCCAGGGGGGACAGAAAGGGAGGAGAGGAGGTCTGATGAGTGAGGATGATGGGAGTCCTTAGGGCAGGTGTGTGTTACCTGAACAGGCTGCAAAACTGGTGCCCTGCTGCTGTTTTCTGACCCCTTTGCACAGGGCAAGGTGTGCTGCCAGCTCCAGGTCCCTCCAGGAGACAGGGACCACCCTGCCCTGCATGGATCCCACAGCAAGCTCCAGGCCTTGCTGGGGATGCTTCATCCCTGCTCTGAATCCAACTTCAGAGACACCTGCAGCATTTTTGCCTTCTTCTGGCCCAAAGAGCACCTGAGGTTCAGGTGTTTCTGGCACACTGAGCTAGACTGGAGACCTGCAGAGCAGCACTCACTGCTGGCTCCTGCCCAGCTGGAGGAGGCAAAGGTCTGAGGAGAACTCACCCCCCTGACCCACTGCCCTTCCCCACCTCCAGCACTATGGTCTGGGTATGTGAAGAGAGGAGGAAAACAGAGCTAACAGCCCTAAAAGTGTGAGCACCTGGGGAAAGGAGGCAGATTGAGAGGAGCTGACAGCCTGCACAGCACTGCACTCCCCAGAGCAGAGGCTGTGCAAGCACTGAGCACAAGGACAAAGAATGTCTTCTCAAAGTCCTGGGCAGAAATGAGAGACACGAGCTGGGAGGGATTTCTCTCCTATTTATGTATCTTTAAACCCAAAAGGATTATCACTGTCAGGTCTTCAAGCCTGGGCAGAGAACTGCATCGAGCAGAGAGGGGTAAACCAGACACCTTGAGAGGCTGAAGAACAACCCCACAGAGACAGATCTGGGGGAGAAAAACCCAGGAAAGCAGGAACCCCCCCAAGGATGTTAGCAGATTGCACCACACTCAGTGAGGAGATCATGCAGAGCCAAGTGGCACAAGCAGCCCCTTTGCCATACTCACTCGCAGCTAAACGGGAGGTGGGGGCAGCAGCACTTGCTAAAGAAAGAGAAAGGAAGGTGAGGAGAGAGGAGGTGACCCCTGGTAAATGCTGCCAAAAGACAGAATTCAAGAACTTGGAATTTGGGGATCACTTCAGTGTTGGTTTGGGGGTTTGTACACAAAGAGGTTTTGCTGTAGAACCACACACAACACACACACTCGAGGTCGAACACACGTTTGGGTCCCACCTGAACCAGGGCAAGGAACAGCTTTGGGCTCAAAGAGAAGCTGCTCCCAGGTCTGTCTGCAGCCTTGGTTTGGCTTCAGTTTTGTAAGGAAAAGGAAATGCAGAAAAAACAGCAAATTGGGATGAAAATACAAACCCAAGTTAGACAGATATCCTCCTACCCCTGAGCTCTCATCTGTGCTGGGGTAATACCTAATTATCACAACCTTCCTGTGCCTTTGAGACAGACAGAAACAACTACTTCTTATTGAGGAAAATTAACAGTATCAAAATGACCACAGACATATCCCAACAGGCACCAAAACAGGGTCAGGTCTGACCTTCAACTAGAAACCTTAAGAGGCCAAGGAAAACTAGTTGCTTTGGTTAGTGTGAAAATACAGCCTGAGCTGGTGCCTAAGAGCTTTTATATTCTTCCTTGTAACATATCTGAACCATTTCTGTGCTCTTCAAACCACACTGGGACACTCCTGGGGGACACTCAGCTTCTTCCTGGCTGTACCTCTGCCCACAGACAGGAAATGTTGTGTGATTTGAGCTCCAGTGCAGACAAAAAGGGCATTTCTGTTGTGCCAAGCACCCCCTTGGCAGTGCCACAGCCCAGGCAGGATCCAGGATGGGCTCTGGGAAGCCCAAGGAGCAGAGAGAGGAGCAGAGAACCCAGTGCTGAGGCTGATCACAGCTGCAAGGTGGAAATGTGCTTGGGAGGGCAGAATGGAATTCTTCTCCCAGAGAAGGGAGAAGAACTGGAGCTTCCCCTCCGAGGGAGCAGAGCCAGGGGCTGTGGATGGGCTCACATCCCAGTGCCACTTTAAAACAAGCAAAAGACTCGACTACAAGTGTGATCTGATGCTGTTCAGAGCCACATACCTGTCCCCAAGTGATGACCATGAGGCTTGGCTGACAGAGCTGGTGACGTGGCTGAAACAAAGCTTTTAATGTTCTTTTTCCTCTCTTCTTAATTGGATTTTTTTCCCCTTTCCCTGCAGTCCTGCTCTGCAGACACTGCACTCTCCAGCCCTGACCTCCCTGGGGTGTTGTTGTCTCCACCTGATGCAGAAGGGCCCCCCAAACCCTCTGCTGAGAGCTGTGACACCCACCACAATTACCTCCAGCCCAGGATAGAATGACTGCTCCTGGAATTAACAGGCTCCAAACAATCTGAGGCCACAGACTGCACATATGTTCTGGCAATGTGTCCCAGGTGACTCTCTAACCAGTGCAGTTTGCAGCTCTGTCTGTCCATCTGTGCAGACATTCACCCCTCCTGACACCCTCGTGCTGCTCCACTCGCTCCAAGCTTTTGTGGAGCACAATCTTTAAGGGAAACTAGCACAAACATGATGCAAATCCTGCAATTTAGCCTCAGAATTGGGATATCTTTCCTGCTTTTTACTCCAGAAACCTCAGAATGTGAGAGCAGCTCCCCCAGGCTCGTCCATGCAATCCTGGGAACTGCAGCAGCTCAGCACAAGGACACGGTGATAACCTGGATGGTTCTCACTGGCATAAAGAGGTTTCTCTTAGCTCCATTGATTAGCTCCGATTGGAAAGGCACAAAGCTGAGGAGCACTCGGTGTTTCACTGACAATTAAACATACCCATCAAGTTTCTGATCTCGCACTGGGCAGGGGGAACATGCATTTATTGTCAGTTTAGTACGACATTGGTTTGTTTCGGTACACAATCTCCACCAGTGCTGGGAGACTGTGCACAGACCATGGTCCAAAATATTAGTGACAACAGGCAGAAAAATGTCAGTTTTGCCTTGAAGTTTCTGCTTTCAAAATGGTGAAGACACTCAGAATTGAGAAGCTTTTGGTTGGGTCTTAATCGGTGCAAAACAGAGCTGCAATTGAGCTCAAACTTTCTCCCTGCATTATCTTCTTCCATTCAAATTAAGCAGTTTTTAATGAGTTCATGACTATGAAGCTTTCCACTACTCCACCCTGTGTCAGCACACTAGCTAGGACTACGATTAGGCAACCACTAAGAGAACATGTCACTGGCATGCTGCAAAACACACGTGTTAACTGCCCTGGGAGAGCAGGGTGACTGTGCTAGGGTCAGTCTGGTTAGGAAATGGACACTAGCAGTGACTCCATTTCTAAAGCCCCTGAGAGGAAAAAGGCACTAGATTAAAAGCTAAGGTTATGTGTGTTAGGAAGGCTCTAAGAACACAAAAAAAAGAGAGTGAAGAAATGCAGAGAGCACTTACGTGGGTGGGGGATGCCTGGAGGTTTCCATGATGGGACATAGATCAAAACAGTACAGAGATAGACACACAAAAAAAAATGTAGAAGATGTGAGAAGAGGAGATAGAGAGCATGGAGCTGGAAAATCAAATACCACATGTCCTGCCCCACACTCTCAGCAGCTCTGCTGGGACACAGGTTGGTAGACAAAACCAAGACCATGCACAGCTCGTGGGGCCTCCAACATGCATGTGATGGGCTGGGAAAGGCCAACTCTGAGCTTAGGAGAAGGTCCTGCCACAAGAGCTACAGCACAGGGACACAGCTCTGGGGTGATGGGGGGAAGAAGAAGAAGAACAGGCTGTAGATGTAGATGCAGGAGCAATGGGGAAGAAGAACCACAGAAGAACCACCTGCCCCTACCTGCTTTCATCACATCTCCCCTACCCACTCTACACTTGTGTCCTCTCTCTTCCCAACCTGAGTAACTCTCTGGATTTTAATCCCTGCCACTTTATTCCTGGGTGAAACAGGAGGGACAGTGCTGGGCCAAAGCAGAACATTCTGTGACTGGACTGGAAGATGACCAGGTCAGGCAGAGAAGGGGCTGTGGAATCCCTTCTTGTGCTGCACGGGCAGCCTAAAGTAGTGATGTGCAGAAAAGAGCAAACCCCCTCCCTCCCCTCCTTCCCCAGCTCATATGCTGAACATCTTCACGTGTGCTTTGCCAAGAAACCCTGCCCCGTGGCACTGGTGCCACACTCTCTGTGCCCAATACCCTTCTCCACTGCTTTTCCTTATCCAAACTCCATCACACAGTCCCTTCTCTTTGGCAATACCAAGTTCCTGCTGTCAACCCAGGGCACAACCACTGCTAATCAAACAGTTCCTCTGCCTCCTCCTTCGAAGAAGATTTTGAATGAGCAATGAAATCCACTACGAGCAAAACCCACCCCAAGAACAAAGGGTGCAGCAAGGTCTGCGAGAGAAGGTGTGATCCATGCATGGCAGAGATTCCCTGGGAAGGCTGAAGGAGAGAGACCCAAAAGCAGAGGGAGGGCTCAGCTCTACTTACGAACTGGCTGTGTCTTGAACTCAGAGGGCAGACTGATCTCCCCCACGCCCTTGCCGTTCACCGCAGAGAGCCTCACTGAGTAGGTGGTCTCAGGCTTCAGGCCAGTGATGGTGATCATCCCCTCCACGTTGGCTGTGGCAGAGACAAGGGGACAAAAGCAAAGCAAGGATCAGCCTGATGGAAGAACTCAGCTCTGTTTCTCCTGTACAGACACCAGGGAGGAAAGAGAAGAATAAACCTGACTCTAGCTGTGATCACATCACTCCAGGGGGACCTAAAGGAAGAATTTCAGTGGCAGACAGGATTGGCGGTGCTAAGATTTAGATCTGAAATAGAATTCTCCTCTTCATAGCCCTCCCAAATCCAAACTCCCTGGGTTTCCTGGACTTTAGGATCCATTTTGAGCAGTGTGCAGTGCTACAGATCACTGGGACTCCCCAGGTGCCACGGGGATAGACTTGCTGCTGGGACAGGAGGGTTTGTGTTCCAAGGGGAACTGAGGGCTTGGCAGCCAGAAGCCTTTGTAGGAAACAGAGCCATGTCCCAGCAGCAGGTGAAGACTCATCTGGTTCAAGGTACAGGGTCCTTCACCACCACAGGATGGTGTGGCAGAGAGTGTTGAACACACACTGTGCCCTGTCACAGAGCTCTCAGCACAGCTCAACCTTCACTTCCATGTGAAAGGTCAAGGTGTCACTGCCCAGCAAATGTTAAAGGGCAGCAAGTCAAATGCTTCACTTCTCTGGGGCCTCGTTAACACCAGAGCTGAAGCTGCAAAGCCCTGGAACCCTCCTGTGAGGGAAGGTCAGTCCGGGCAGGTTCAGGTGTGGGAGGTGCCACCTTATTCTGCCATCCTACCTTCTCTTGCATCGTACAGCCTGGAGTGCCACTCTGCCTCGCCCAGAGCCCTCCACTCTGCCTTGTACTTGAGGATGGGCACTCCCCCCGTGGCCTCGGGCTCGTCGAACTCCACCTGTGCCGTGCTGGAATAAGGCTCCACTCTGTCGATGGACGGCGAGGACGGCGTGTCTGGGGAAAGGGAGAGCAGCCAGAGGAGCAGGAGGAGTCAGCACACAACCTTCAGTGCAGAGACAACAGCCTGGGAATGCTGAGCCCCTCACAAAGGAGAGGAGGAGGGTGGGCTGGAGCCTGCCCTCAGAGGGAAAACTTTAAGGAGGCTAATTAGTGCAGAGACCTTCATCTCGTGTCTCCTCTGAGAGGCTGGAACAGCTCTGAGGTTTGTGTCTTGCATTACATACACCATTAGTGGTGCTTTGAGCCCCTCTGCACACACGTGCCATGAGTGTCAGAAACCAAAGCTCACAGCTCTGTCCATGTGCAGAGAATCACAGAAAAGAACAAGACCCTTCAGACTCAAGGAAACAGACACTGAGCATCTTGTTATCTACAACCCAACATAAAACCCATCATCTTTGAAGCAGGAGCTACTCTCCTGCTGCCCCAGCAACACACACTAGGCAAAAAGGACCAGTCTGTCCCCTGGGTTCAGTGCTGCCCACACATTCCCTCGTCCCTGCCTGGGGTGCTCACCTGCCTGCACAAGGATGAACTCTGAGGACTCCTGGCCGATGCGGTTCACAGCAGTGCAGTTATAGTTCCCAAAGTCATTCTCAGAGTCTGGAGTCACCTGTGGAGGATCAGACAGCCCTTTGCATTGAGCTGGGAGAGAAGCTACAGGGAGGTACAGGTGTTCTCACTCCAAGGGCTGACCAGGAGGGACAACTGCAGTGGGCAGGAATCAGAGGCAAGGATGGAATTGTACCTTCTATCACCTGATTTTCTCGGCATTTATAAGCCAGAAACACCACAAAATTCCTTTACACCAACAGGGTGTCCTTGCCCAAGGTTTAACTCCTTCAACGTCAGGGACACCAATTACTGCCAGCACTGAGCCCTCCTGGCTGCACATGCCTCCCCTCCTGAGCTTCTCCTCACCTCCAGGTAACTTGCTGATGGAGTGTTGTAGATCTTGATGTTGCTGTAGTTGGAGCTGGGAAGGAGCTGTCCATCCCTGAACCAGGAGATCACAGCGCTGGGGTAGGCAAACACCTCACAGGTGATGTTCACTTGGTTTCCTTCCCAGGTATACACAGCCACAGGGCCCTGAAGCTTGGGGGCATCTGAGACACAGGCACATTTGTGAGGACAATTTGAGCCATTCAATCCCCTGTAGCAGCTCAGTCAGCCTCCCTGGGAGGATCCCTGGGCTGATCCCTGGGCTGGGGCCACTCTGAAGCTTGTGTGGAGACCTCAGAGCACCTTCCAGGAGCTGAAGGAGCTCCAGGGAAGCTGCAGAGGGATCTGTGTTAGGAACTGCAGGGACAGGACAAGGAGCAATGGGGAGAAATTGAAAGATGGAAATTTAGGCTAGATGTTAGGCAGTTTTCCCTGTGAGGGTGGGGAGAACTGGCCCAGGTTGCCCAGGGAGGCTGTGGCTGCCCCAACCCTGGCACTGTTCATTCCAGGTTGGATGAGCCTTGAGCAACCTGCTCTGGTGGGAGGTGTCCCTGCCCAGGGCAGGAGTTGGGACTAGCTAATCTTTAATGTCCCTTCCAACCCAAACCATGCTGTGACATGAGGAAACCTACTGAGTCCCAAAGCTGCTCCTGTGCAGTGTGGGAGGAACAAACAGCAGGATGGAAATCACACCAGGAGGTCCTTCTGGGGCAGAACTCTGATGCACCCAGTGGAAGGCACTCAGCACATCCATGGCCCATCCCCTCCCCAAGCTGCCTGGAGACAGCCAGAGCAAACAGCTGCACACAGCAACATTTCTCCCACATTTGCTCACACCGAGCTGCCTCCCATGCCCTCACAACCTCAACACCACACGCGTCCGGCGACAGGAGCTGCGTTCTCAGGAGGGATGAAGGGAACCCCAAGTCCCCAGAGAAACATGGGAAGAGCCTTCCCAGCCCAGATCCCTTTGCTTACACTGCACTTCCAGGTACATGGCCTGGGAGTCCTGGCCGATGGTGTTGCTGGCCGTGCACACGTACTCGCCGGCGTCCGTGTACTGGATCTCCTTGAGGGTGAGGGAGGACACTCGCGCGTGGCTGCGCACGACGATGCGCCCGTCCAGGGTCTGCCAGGGGGGACACAGAGTCACACACAGGGCTGGGAGCTGTGCTGTGTGCCAGGGGGATGGGAACGGGAGGAATTCTACCTCACGCCAACCCTGCAGCGCTCAGGACTTCGCAGGGGATCACCTGGGGCCAGGGGAGAGCAACGGGAGCAGCCCTGGCCACGCAGGGCCAACTGCAGGGGTTCAGAGCTCTCAGGAGAAGGGACAAAGGAAATGAAGGACCAAAGTAGCAGATGCTAACGTGTCTGAGGAAGAGCTGGACAAAGTCAAGAGTCTTCCCAGATGAGGACTGCAGAGATCCAGCTCTGCTCACAAGTCTTTGCCAGCATGGAAAACCCAAGGAAACCTCCGCAACAGCTACTGTGTTTCCACCCAAATTCAGCCCCTCCTGCTCTCTCACTATTGGGTTTGTTTCCGTGTCCTTGAAATGGCATTAAGGAGAACAGACCCAGACCTCAAAGTGGGACCAGGCAAAAAGAAAGTCACAGGGAGAGAGAAGAGTGAACAGGGCAAGGAAACTCTGTGACCCTCCTAGGGACAGCGCTGCTTCAAGCTCTCCTGAGGCTTCCAAAACATCCAAGAGCAACCTCCCACATGCAAGGAAGTGTGGGGATGTCACTGACAGAGGCAAGGAATGGAAAATCCAGGCTACCATCGGCCCCAAGGGGCTGCAGCCACCCAGACACCCATCCCACATCACCTTGGGCTCTTCCCTCTCCAACTCGTGCCCAAAGCCCAAGTGCTCTCTCAGTAAATGAAGCACCCAAGGCCATGGGAGCTCTGAAGCTCTCTCAGCTAACTTCCACAGTGCCACAAGCACAAGGGAATAACGTGGTACCCTCGTGGCTGTGCCTGCTGTTGCCACTCTTAATCCAAGAGAATTTCTTTCCTTCCTTGGAAGATAGAAGACAAGGACTGAGATTATGAGTCAAAACCCTGAGGATTTCAAACAGCCAAGCACACTGAGCTGGAGCACCAGGTACATCTCTGGGACCTCATGTGGTCTCACCCCTGGGCCTGAAGCCTCTTCCTGTGCTGACCTAGTGCTCTCAGTCTCTGAGACTGACAGAGTTTCTGCAAGACAATGTGATTTGTTCCCTCTGTTAGTTCTAATATTAGTTCATTTGAGCCACTCCGATTCCATGTGCATGAAAACAGATTCCTTTGATGACACAAAAAAAATTACATGTGGGGTTTTTTTCTCTCTTCTGCCTGCACACAGGTCTCCTGCAATCCCTGACCAGTGCCACGAGCTACAAACTCCATCTCCATCCTGTGCCAGGTACACGTGGTGCTGTGGGCATCACCTCCTACAGCCCTAACACCACATCAGTCACTGTGGTACCCCCAAATCCTGCTCTTACCTTTCCTCACTGCTGACTGTGCTCTTACCCTTTTATCTGACTGGTGATTTGACTCCCAAACCCAACTCACTTCTGCAACTCCTGCAGAGGATCCCTAAATGCCAAGACTCCAGATCTGCAGGCTCACAGCTCCTTTTAGCTCCTGACTTGGGTGAGTACCCTAAATACTTGTGTCTGACTCATCAGCAGGCAGAGCATAAAGGCAAAATACCAGAGTGGGATCATTACAGGTAATTTTACATCCAAGTGTGACCTGCTGTTCCACACTTGCTCAGCATCTAACACAAACAACAGTGCCTGATAGTCATGGTCCAGTGAGAACCTCACAAGCAAAGCAACTGGTTCTGAAGCTGCTTCTTAATGCAAAAGGAAAGAGAAAGATCAGGAAAAATACTCTAAAGAAGAGAGAAATGTCTACCTGAGACAGCACAAGACTGGGGGTTTGCTCCTATTTCAGCCCATCAGATGCTAATAACTCCTGACTCTTAGAGGCACAGGATGGATAGAAACTTGTGAGTCAGGTGTAGACACTCGTAATCCCTTGGCCTACTTGCCCTGATTTCAAGGATTTTGGGTAACAAAATGCTTCAGAGCCATGGGAGACAAGCTGAAGGACACAGGCAGCAACTCATCCCCAGCAGAGCAGGCTGTGATGGTTCTCTGTGCCACAGGGTTTGTCCCAGCTCCTGCCCATGCCTGGGGCACAGGCACTGTGGACTCAGCTGGCCCAGACTCCACCTCAGTGCCAGAGAGACAAATAGGAAACACATTTCTTGCCCTTCCCTCCACCTTCTGGAGCCTTCAGTCCTTTCACAAACAAGTGTCCCTGGATAATCCCACACACTCCTCCCTTCTCCTCACCCACTTCCCACAGTCTGGGCAGCACCACCCAGAGCACCTGGAAATCTGCCCACGAAGAGCAGTGGGGGGAGATGAGTGCTCTGTCCCAGCTCTGTCCTAGCACTGCCCTGACCAAACTCATCTGCAGTGTTAGGTGTCTGTGAGGCTGCACTAACTCCCAGGGACCAGAAAGGCATCAGCAGTCCGTGGTGTACCTGAGCTTACCCAGCTATGCTGCCACGACCTCCTCACCTGACACTCCCTAATGCCTTAGGGAGAGTAAAACACTCGGTGCCAAGTACTCCCTGAGCTCCCCCAGCCCTGAGCTGCTGCTGGAACTCTCTGCCCAAAGCCCCCAGGCAGTTTTAAAGCAGTTTAAGAGCTCTATCCTGCAGTGATGAGCTCCACCAACACTCTCACCCAACCCCACTGGGATATTTTGAGACACAGAGGCAGTAAGAAGCTCAGAGACAGAAAGCTTAATAGTGTTAGTGCTTTTGTTAATTGAGAGCTGGAGAGAGAGAGAGAGCACAGAGCCCTGAAGAGATGCAACTACTCAAATTCCAAATTCTTCAATGCAAACTGCTCTGAGTCTCTGCTGCCTTCCCTTGCCACAGAACATCTGTCCCAACAGCTTATTCTGAAGGAAGAATGGGCAGGATCTCCTCAGTCCCACAGGAAACACAGCTGCATGGTGCTGAAGTTACAGGTTCCCTTGGTTTAGGTCACACCAATCTCTGTGCTTTAAGATGGCTTGAAATGATAAACAAATCAGGGTCCCCAGAGACTCCACAAAGCTGATCCTAAGCACACAAATCCCCCAGTTCTGAGAGCTAATTTTGTTCTCTACCTGACCTGTTATTTGCTTGGAAACACTTTCTGGCCCATTTTGAAGCAAGAGTCCCAAATGATTTGCACATATTGTTATCATAATTACTGTCATTACAGCACAGCACTGAATGTGGGACCCAAAGCAACAAACCTCACCTGCCCCAGCCCCAGTTACTGCGTTATCCCCCCACTCTGACCCTGCAAATCAAAGACAAATGGTAATTGAGCAATTTGGAGCATTTTCTGGAGAAACACACCTTGTGAGAGATTTATCTGCATTGACTTGGAAATGGAACATGATGCAGTTGTCCTTTAAGAGAAGGTCAAAGTCAAGGAGTACCATGAGCAAATAGGTGAGTTGGCTGGAGCAGAGGAGGAGATCTTGGGGAAGAAATACCTCCCCAGAACACACTTAGCTTGTTGCTAATTCTTTCATCTCTAAAATAGAGGTATGATTCACACTGGCAGCACAGACACGAATGGTGAGAGCAGCATTTGTCAGATTATACATTTGCTTTTGCTTTTACATTGTCTTTTTGGTCTTTTCAAGTGACAAGCAGAGTTACTCACTCCCAACACAGCTAGTTTGCTCATCCAAAAATGCACTGCTACATGCCAAGCAACTTCTACCTCTAGAAGCTGTTTCTCTTCTGCATTGGCATTTAACTGGTTGGTATTAATGCTCGTTTAGTTGGCTGGTTACTGGACTAGAGAGTTGTTAATCTGTAATGCTTAGAGAAGAACCAAAACCAAACACCTAAGAAGTTTGCTAAAGGTCTGGTAATCTTATACCTCTTGTTTCTCGGGCCGGGTCCACGAAGCCTGGAGAGAACAGATATAGAACACAACAACAACAGAAAAAAAGCAGTAAGAGTTTATCAAAGGTTGCTTTCAGGCATCAGGGTATGCACCACATTGAGTTCTGGGCACATGCAGGCTCCAGGCTGGACATCCTGTGTGGGGTGAGCACACTCCCCATGGCCCAACACAACCTCACTTGGCATTGGCATTGGTCTCACAGCCTGCAAATTGGGCTCCAAATGACTAACCAAAGGCTGATGCACCTAGAGACTTCTCCTGTTGCACCCAGAGTGACTGTTTGTCCTGTCACAGCTCCCCTTGGCCAGGCTCCTGTCCCCAGGAACTGGGGCAGGGACTCCGGGGCACTAAATGGCAGAGACAGCTGAGAACTGCTTTGCTCACCCTGGTTTGTTGCCACCCACACGCACTGATTAACACTCCTTAGTGTGATCATGCACTTGGATCTGTATTTCCATGCATACTGTGCCAGGAGGAGGAGACCTCGAGCTGCAGAGCACAGGAGCAGTGTGACACCCTGCCCAGGGACAGCAGCACCTCAGCTGACAGTGCCAGCCCCTCCTGCCTCGGGATGTGAGCACCCAGTCCCTGCTGGGCTTGGGACAAGCCAACAACACTGAAACATGCACAAACCTTGGATTAAAACCTCTAGTTCCCACTCAGAAAAAGCCACCACAGTATGGACTGTTCACTGTGGTTCACAGAGCCCAAAGTTGTTGGATTGCATTTCCCCTCTGTAATTTGTATTTCAAGTATCTTCTGGTCTCTGTTTCCATTGCAACTTGATCCACTTCAGCTCAGGAGTCAAAAATCACCTGCTAATATCACAGCCAGGATGGCACATGTGTGGGTACCACAGTGCACGCACGAGTGAGTGACAGGGATGAGATGGAAGCTCAGAAATGAGAACCAAAAACAGAGTATTGTTTCCACAGGGCTTCTAGTGACCATTGTGAGGCTGGACTACTAACAGATGGTGCACACAGCCTCAGTTCACAATGTCTGGGAGAGAAGCAAATGATTTGCTTGTAACTAGAAGCCTGAGGTGAAGCCACCTGAAGTGAAGCTCCCCAACACCTTGCTGGGCTGGGGCACTCCCAGCTCCTCAGCCTCCTAAGGATATATATCCTGCTGTGCACAAGTTCCTTGAAGTGATGCCTAATGACCCAGCACAATCCCCTTTTGATGGCCCAGCCATTCCCTGTAGGTGAGCAGGTCAGGCTGGCCAGGGCCCTGCTGTGTATCCACACCAGCCCCAGCCCTGTCCTCTGGGTCTCTGTGGTGTCAGCAAAGGGGGAATTAAAACCAACAACAAAACCAAAAGGAAATGCCTTTTCACCCTTTGGTGACAGTACCTGTCGACCTGCAGGAAGATGAAGAAGGAAAAGGTCTGTCCCATACCCCTAGAGTTTGTTGTTTCTTTGCCATGGCACTCGTGGGTGTGGGGAAAAAGGCAGAAGCACATTCTCCATCCCAGAGAGATCCAGACTAACTCTTCCTCACCAAGGAAAAGAGATACACGAGCACCTTGCAGGGGATAGGGGGAACAAAGAGCCTTATGCATGCTGGCACCTCCCCTTCCCTTGGAAAGCAAGTTGTCCAACAGGAGCATCCTCAGCTCCAAGGAGTTCTGAGGAGCTGCCAGGGTAGTCTGCTCCCTGGATTGTTAAATCCAAAGATATCCCCATGTGCAGATGTTCCCAACACACAACAGATCAAGACCTATTTCCTGAAGCACAGTTAGCACTGTGCTAGAGCAGCAGGAGGAATGTGGCTCTCAGGGGTCTGAGATACCCTGGAGGGGAGGAAGGACATGGGGAACTTGACCAGCTTTCACCTGGTGTGACTCAGAGCAAGATGCTGCTCCCTGTGATGGCACAGCAAGACACACTAGAGGAGAAAGCCAAACCACCTCCCATCATCATACTGTTCACTTTTCAGGCCTCTTAGCTCTTGCTCTGTTCTGCAGCAGAGACCGAGGAACCTCAGACTGACAAGGCCAAGCTTCTCCCAAGCACATGTTCCTACCTGGCCTGAGCAAAAGAATTTACCTCTGCAGCCCATCCTCAGGGCAAAGGATGATCCAGGGGCTGCCAAGCACAGGCACAGAGAGGAGAATCCTCTCTCTGTGTGCTGATGGATCCTAACAGGTCTCTCAGGGAAGGGTGGGAGTGTTGAATTAGTTGTGACATTGTCAATCCATTTGCCTCCAGCACCTCCTGCCTCTCATCCACGTGTCACACTGTCCCTGCTCTTGGCCAAAGGCTGAAGGGGGTAAAAAGCCCTAAGGCAGAGAGGGTTGGTTTTGTTTGTTTGTTTGTTTGGGGGGTTGGGTAGGTTTTTCTAAAGTACAAACCTCTCAAGGGAGCTAAGGCACATCTACACCTCTGAAGATCTAGCCTGAGGTAAGAGTAAACATGAAGCAAGACAGAAGCATCCAAGAACCTAAAGCACATTCAAAAGTGGAGCTTGATAACTCTAAAAACAGCATGTTTTGCCCTGTGTCAAACACCATCCATTGCCTGTGCTGTCCCAGAGACAGCAGGTGGGGAACACACTGCAGAGGTGGCTGTACATGGAATGGAAGGTTTATCAGAGCTGTTCTGACCTAAGGATGTTCTGCCCATCTGTCCCATTCACCTCAGCTTACAGCACGAGATAGAGAATGGAAAAAGTGTAAGACAAACCAAAACAAAAGCACACACACACACACAAATAATCCAGCCCAGAAGTGCATGAGGTATGAGCAAAAAGCCCTGAAGGTTTGACCCAGTACATGAGACACGTCGTAGTACCTCAAACCTTGGATTTCTTCCCTCTCTACCTAAGTATTATCCTTTTCCTTCCTAGTGATCTCCAAGCTAACAGCACCAAGCAGGATATATGAGTCTCAAAAGTGAGCAAAAATGAGTTAGCAGTTTTGCCACTGAGGTTTGGTTAGTTTAATTGCAGCCAGGGCTCTGCAAACAGCCTCTCCTACCCCTTCAGCCTGACATAGTGCTGCTGCAGTTCTGATCTTCTCCTCCCTGACAAGGCTCTTCCCATGGCTGGGAGCCAAACTGGAGCCAGCAGCACTGGAGCCCTTGGCTCCTCCTCGACAGACACAGCCATGAATAACCTCATCCTGTCCCAGCAGGTCCCCCAGTCACACTGCAGTGAGAGCCAACAGTTCCTGCAGGCTCTGGAGATCTCTTTGCACACTGCAGGGATTCACAGCAGCTCCCAAATCCCCAAGATGCTGAGAAAGAAGCTGGAAAACTTTGGCACTGTGATTAATACGTTACACATGGAGAACGTGGGGAGGAGCTGACATCATGGGGCAATAAAAAGCAGCTCATTTAGGAGCTGCAGAGCAATGAGCAGCTGTGGGGACAACGGACAGTGACCACCTCTGTTGCTCCAGGACCTTCAGAGCCTGTCACCTGCTGCCTGCACACTGAGCCAGGACCCCTGGCATGGCCAAGGCAGCTGAGCCCTGAAGCATCCTGTTATTAGACTATTAATAAGCAACAACTCCTCACTCCCACTTTTGTCAAGGCTTTCTCGGGCTCCAAATTTTGCCTACTGATCACTTATGCAACTCTTATGAACCATCTCCCATAAAGCAGCACATCCTAGCCTTGCCTAATTGAAGGAGCCAATAACACCAGCACTGGTTTCGAGAAGAAAAACTGCTAATTATTTTTGCCTTTTAAGAACAAAATGGTATTGATGTGATCAACATAACAGGTGAGCACAAAGGCAGCTCAGGCTTTTGTGCTTCAGGTGTGTGCAGCACCAGAGCACAGCACGGAAGGGTGAGAAGGAATTAACAGGCTCATTTTGGTCCACTGCATCTTTGGAGAGGTAACAGCCCACACCTCATCCCCTGCCACTCTCCCAGGCCACATCATGACCACACTGGAACCAGGGTGCTCATTCCCACCTCCCAGCTTGGAAACAGAAGGGCAAAAACCCTTCCCCAAGCTTCCTGCAACTGTAGGTCCCTTTGGAAACTCCTCTGAGAAGGG